GGTTGCAAGATTGGTCAAATCTACCGAACCCGTACAGAGATTAATTACTGACAATAACTGATAAAATATGAAGTTTTTTCTTAAGAAATATTTGATAACTATCTGGACAGTATAAAGAAATTTGCATGTGAAGTTGGAAAATTTTCTGATGCATAAAAGTATTTTTAATCTTAAAATGAAAATTACTTTGCATGACAGATGGGCAACATGTGAAAAGAAAAAAAGGCATGAGAAAAACATTGCTTTACAAACCTTAAGACTTAATAAAATAATTTTATATTTTGCGTATGAAAGCATTGTAATGTTTACTGATAATCTGCCAAATTTTGTTAACATTTGCTTACTAATTTAAAAGTTATAGCATGAAAACTATATCAAGCACAAAATGGTTACGAGGTCGGAGCCAGGGACCGAGCCCATGCTGAAAGAGTTAAGCACTGGTGTAAGAATTTGATAAAGAGGAAGTCCTGGTTTAGAGTTAGTGGAGTTCTGTCTGCTTTGGGCTTGAAATCCATAATGTGTCAGTCTCAAAACAGTCATATTACTTGGGGTTATTGATTCCAAGCTTCAGAAGGGGCTAGTTTTTTATGCAAATTTTTGGTTGTCATAATTTCTAGGCCAATTATACCAAATGAAATATTTTTGATTAACAAAAGATTAGGGAAGTTATTTTGTACATTTATTCATTTGTTGGCAAAAATAAAATACAATATTAAAATTATATAAATTATAAATATATAAAAAATAAAAACTTGCTTATTCTTCTCAGCCTTACAAGTTATGTATTAAAAGGACTAAAAACATTAACATTTAAACTGAGCTCTTCTTGGACTGTTCTTGTCTAATATTTATTACTCTTAGCTGTTCTTTACTATAGATACATTATTTTCTTGAAAAATTGCATGAAGTTTACTATTTGGCTTTTTTGTAGAGTTCACAAGAATTGTTATGGTGTCTACATATTATTCCTGTGATAATAGTACAGAGTATATTAATATTTATAATATCCTTACTATTCATTACTTAGATGAAATATTACACTCAGTTATAAATTATTTTCTGTGATACAAAAGGGGTAATTATCTCCTTACATGTCACTAGTTAGGTTTCACTTGGAAATTTGTTTGCAGTTTTTGTCTGCTCACTTAAGAAAGGATGTTGAACTAGGGATGATTCTGAGAATAGAAGGGTCATCTTATTAGAATAGGTTAAAATCTACAAGTAATTTTTTCTTGGAAAAAGAAGTTAAAGAGTGATCTCATTGGGGTTTTCATAATTATACAGTGTATCCATAAGATAAAGGCCTTTGATTTCATTGTACTGCATTCTGAAGTCAATAGGATGAGAGAACAGGAATTTAAGATTTGGAAAAAGACATGCTAGGCACTAGTGAAGAGAATTTTATATTTCTAACAGGGTGACTTCCTATTAAATGAGTTGTTACCAGCATTTGTGGAGTCCATCACCTTACAAGAGTTTAAGAGAAGATGTGATGATTCCCTTAATAATAGTGTGTGTGTGTTTGTTTAAATTAGTGTTTCTGATTGTTACTGTTTTTGATCACTCTAGCTATCCCAGTCATCAAAATATTGTTGTTATATATAGTATTCATTATTATTATCAAGATTCATGAAAATTAATCATCTAATCAGTAGTTATGGTTATTACTATTTTTGGACATTTATAGTATCCAAGTAATCAAATATTAGCTATTACTACTGTTGGCATGACTTTGTGCAACAATATTTATGAATTCTGCTCTTATATGTCCAAATAGTAGTATAGCTTTAAATTAATACATTGCTTACATATTACAAACTATAAATATCAAGAATTACTTAGGATAAAGTTGTTTCAGTGAAAAGTTATGGCTAGTTAATATTGATTATTCTTTTATTTGCTTAAAAAAATGTTAATTGTTGAATAACTTGCTTATTTAACTGTGTCTGTCAGAAATTAAATGTATACTAACAACAGTCTGATAATACATAACACTCTTGTTAACTTATTTACATAAACAGGATTCCTTTAATTATGACTAGCTCTAGCTAGATAGGAAGGACTGAAATGGGAAAACAAAAGACTGTCACAGGGATGCATAAATACTGCATAGTACAGTAAGCCTTAAGTTGTTTGGCTTATCAATTTCTCAGCATGCTATTGTGTTTCTATAGTTTCTTCTAATCTGTACTATAAAATGTAAACATTAATCATTTTAATGTGTTCTTTCTGTTCATATCAACAACTTCTTGCATGATGATTTTATACGTATATAAGTTGTTAATTATCTTTTAAGTTCTTCATGCTGATGGTGGAAGTACAAAAAATTCTGAAATGTCTCTAGCTAAAGAATTTTACCATGTTACCATGATTTTAATATTTCAATTTTCACTTTATGAATAATTTTAATATCTGCAAAGGTGTCATCTAGTTTCATCACAAGTTTTCATGCCAAATAGTAAATGTTATACTATCTTTATTTTTGTAGGGTCAATGTGAAATTGTTTTCATTGAATTATATATTACATACCATATACTCTGAGAAGAATCTTGACAAGTTTTATCGTATGAAATCTAAGGACTATTATTTTAACAAATAATTTGTTTATTCAGTAAAGTAGTATTTGATAATTTGTTGGAAGAAACTCACATAATAGTATTAATTGTATTTGCAGTTTGTTATAGATTTTGTACTACATTGTCTATATAATTTCACGTATAACAGTTTAGAATTAGAAAGTAACTTCATCTATTTTAATATTTCTTACAATATTTCAAATATGGAAATTCAAATGCAGTGTAAAATAAATATTTTAACAGATAGCTAACAGTTGAGAGTTGTTAAAATGGATGACCAGCTTAAGAAAATGATGGGTTAAAACTTCTTAAGACAGTTTATTGCATATGACTTAAATTTTGGCACAAAATAAGGAATGAATAATTTTCATTAAATAGAATAACTAAAACTATTTCTGAACTTGTTCAAAAAAATAAAGATTTAATGTAGGTGTTTGTGTTTGATATTCACACTTATCAAGCCAATGTGGCACAATGCTTAGAACACATGAAAAAGTAATATGACAGAATGTACCAAAGACACAATTCATTCACAATAAATAGGAATAAAAATTAATGCAAGCTAAAAAGAGCCCATTACATCAGTATAATTATCCGAAATTGAACATTTCTCAAACTTTGAATAAATGATCATTTTTTTGCCATTTGAAAATTAGGCCAAAGGTAGTTGCTGATCATTGTTGTGTGACAACTAAAAAGTCTAGTTTTTCTTAAGGATATTAAGTTGTGAATATGAATAATGTGATCATGATGGATCACAATAGATGTTCGGGGATGAAGAAATTAGAAGCAATAGTAATACATGCTTTGTTAATACAGAATTAAAAGTTTGTCAGGCTAAGATGTGAAAAAAACTTGTACGTCTTCATTTGGTTTCTTTTTTTTTGTCCTTTAGGAGATTGAGCTTTTTAGTTCTTCTCTTCAACAATTAAGAGCAGCACATGGGAAATTCCAGGACTCAAAAGAATGTGTTGAAAAGCTGACTCCAGACACCAAGGGAAAGGAAATACTAGTGCCACTTACAGGATCTGGATCCTTTTTCTTTATTTTACATTTATAAGGTGTAATTGATTTCTTGGAGCTACAATAGATTTTCATTTCCTTGTAGCATGCATTACATCTAACTCTTAAACACCCTGCAATATATGTTTAAGAAGATCAAAAAAAAAAGTTGAAAGTGTACTAAAAATTATGAAGAAGAAATTTTACTTATGAATTTATATGCTCCTTGAAACCTGTATGGGTGAAAATGATTTAGTATACAAGTAGGCTCCTTGTGAATCCAGAATGCATCAATCTTAGAAGTGTTGCTCTGGATTATTTTCTAAAGTTAATAAATCTATGTCTACAGAAAAATTGATGTCAACTGTGCATTCTTGTTAAAAATACTATACTTTTGGAACTATTAATGAAAAGACATCATTTTAATTGTATCTTTCTGGATGTTGTTGTGTATTTTCTGTGAGAAGATAACACAGTGGTTTCCAAATTGTGTATCATGGTAAGTTGCTAGTGGTGTCGTAAGAGTTACACCAAATGAAGTATAATTAAGAACATACAAAAACATGTGGCAGCAGGGTTATCACACAAATCAAGGTAAGTGGGTTAGGGTGCTGTTAGTGAAAAAAGTTTGGAAACCACTGAGACAGAGAATGAAAATCTGCAATATGCCTTAACTGTACAGTAGATGTATGTTTTGGGTCACTTCAGTGATGTTGACAAGGTGTTGTGTGACGTGGGGACAGGCTACTATGTTGAAAAGGTAAAACTGCATACTTACTACACGAGTTCTTGAAATAAATAGTAATTGAAATGCATGTGTAAGCATAAATTATATTATCTTATTGAACAATAACCTACATGTAAATAACTGTCATTGTTGAAAGCAGCTGGATGAGGAATGAAGAGGTTTGAATTAAAATTAAAAGCAATAATCTTAAGGCTAAACAAATAATGGGAGGCTAGATAAGGTTATCTGAAAAGGACAGTGCTATCAATGCAGTACTAAATCTGTTAGTATAGCTGTATGTGAGTATGACACTTAGGTTTTGCTTTAATATATATCAATGACTACAGAGAAGGAAATTATTATAGAAGATCTGATTAGTGGAAGATTACTACTAGGTTTAATGACAATTCTATATGTAGAGAAGTGAAAAACAAGTTGACTGAGATAAGTTATCTTTCTTACAACTCAGTGCTAGTAAACTAGTTAAAATTTGCTAAAGGCCCATTTCCCCATGCTTCAGGACTAGCTAAACATACTTTGTGCATCTATAAAAACAGACAGCCCAAATTTGTTTTAAATACAGTCTCATTACTTGTATTACATTGTATAATGTCAGTTAAAAGACAAGTTTTTATGGTTCTTGAGAGTATTCTTACACCCCTGAGTACTCTTTGTAGATAGTATTCTCTCATTGTGTTGTTAAAAGTGTTTATTTTATTTAGGACTTTGAGTTTGTGGCATATTTGCTTGGTATTGTTTGCTTTATAATTTTCAGTTTAATTTAAATCTTTTTTATATCAAGTCATTAATTTCTTTGTGTTAGAAGTTTTGATGCCATCTTCCAAGACTCGCATGGCCAATATTATTACTATAGGAGTTGAGCCTTGTGACTACCTTCAAGTTAGTATTTCAGCTCTCGAGTGAGAGGAGGTTTGATCTCAACCCATCATTAATGACCAGTCTGTTACCCAACTTACATTTTAAGAGTTTGAGGCCTAGTTTGGGCACAGATTCTGCTATAATGTCATACCTGTGCTCACTTCTCAGTTTCCTTTGTTGCTTAAGGTCTTCAACACATTTTCTCAGCCATCAACTCATAATTGAAGTCTTGGTTCTTAAGGTTTGCTCCCTTTTTTCCAGTACTTATGCTTTTTAAATTTTGTGGCTCTGATAATTTATGGAATGTAATAGATTACGTTAATGCAGAGATATGGGACTTTTGTATCTTTTTTAGGAGAAAATGAATAGCTTGTACCTTTGTTAAACAAAAATGTTACATATGTTTCTGTGGTTAGTATCATTCATATCAGGATAAACATTTTCACACTACCCCATGCTCGTACTTTTGAGAATTTAATTTTTTATTGTTAGATTTTGTTAGTAATCGACTTATTTCTTGGAAAACGTGTCTTAATGATAAAACACGAATGTAATAACAGGAAATATTTATTAAACATTTTGGAATCATAATTCCATCATCAGTAATCTGGAGATACAAAACAAACAAAAAGTATTTATAATTACAACAGAAATATACACATAAGAAATAAACAATTCAGTATACAAATATAATATGAGAAAATGAAAACTGAGGCACAAGTGAAATAGTTAAAATAGGTTTAAATCCAGTGAAGACTGTGTGTTATTTAGGGACAGAAGAAGAGTTGTTATGTATAATGTTTCTTTTATAAGAAATTCGATATCATGTTTGGCTGTTGAAATAATTTTAAAGTTTGAGAGAGAAATAGGATGTCCTGTTTCTGTGTTGTGCTGATAGATAATGGAGTTGGAAGGGTTTGTAACCTTTCTTCCAGTTTTTATAGATATGCCCATGCGTTGACATGCTCATTCTTCAAGGTGATGTTTGGTTTCACCAATATAGGAGGCTTTAGAATCTCCGCACATGTATAAGTAGACAAGATGTGAACAATGGACAGTTGGCAAACAATCTTTGTGGCAGAAAAAAGTTTTTAGTCTAAAATTAAGTTTCATAATAACTTTCAGGCCAATTTGGGGATAATAAGTGTTACATAACTTTTTAAACTGTTTCATGATAAGGGAGCTCTGTCTCCCAAGATATGGTAAACAGTTGTATAAGGGAAGTTTGAGTACAGTATGTATCTTAGGTAGTTTGACAAACAAATTAATGAGGAAGTTATTTTCTCCGAGAAATGCCTAAGGTAGCCATTTTGAAAGATAATGTTTTGTATGGAAGTAATTTCTTTGTGAAGAGCTAAAAAGGATGAAGTAAGTTTGTAGGCTCTATTTGTAATTATAAATATTATTTGTTTCTTTTGTACCTTTAGATTACTGATGATGGAATTATGACGATTCCAAAACATTTAATAAATGCTTCCTGTTGTTACGTTTGTGTTTTGTTTTATCATTAGTCTCTTATTTTTCAGAAAGTAGACTTATAGTAGTTATAGCACCAGAGAATGTCTATTCAATGTGATTTTGTGTTTTTAAAACAAGAAATTTCCAATTGGGGAAGTGACTCTTAGAACTAAATATTTTCTCTCAAAAAAAAAAGGCCTGGCATGGCTAGGTGGTTAGGGTGCTCAACTCGCAATCTGAGGGTCACAAGTTCGAATCCTTGTCCCACCAAACATGCTTCATCTTTCAGCATGGGGATGTTATAAAGTGATGGTTAATCCCACTATTCATTGGTAAAAGAGTAGCCCAAGAGTTTGCTGTGGGTGGTGATGACTAGCTGCCTTCCCTCTAGTGTTTCACTGCTAAATTAGGGATGGCTAGTGTAGATAGGCCTCATGTAGCTTTGCACAAAATTCCAACAAATCAAACCAATAAAAATTAATACAAGTGCAGAGACTCAGCTAAAATAGAATTATAAATAATGTATAATATGAAAGATAAATAAAATTGTAATTAAGATGTAGTAATAGGGTGTCATGTGTATATATATATTTCTGTGTTGACAAGAAATAAAAATACAATGAGAAAAACTTAGGCTAGGAAAAGAGTCATTGAGGAGATGAAACACACTAAAGTTCTAATTATAGACATGTTAAGTAAGATGCATTTATAAAACTGTTGTTGAGAAACAGTATTGTTGAAATATTTTTGCAATATTTTGAAAATTACAAGATTTTGACAGGAATTAAAACTGATCATGTGGTCATTGGAATTATACAAATAAAATTTTGGAAATAGTAATAAACAACTATGCATATTTAAGTTGTGTATATGCATTTATTTTATTATTATATATCTTTGAGTGATAAAGCAAAATATTTATAAAACTAGAATTATTTCATTAATGTGAATGGTAAACTTTTGTCAGAAATTTCTCTAGATTGCATCAGAATGCATTAATTTTTAAAACACTTTCTTTAAGAAGGCTTCACAATCCTCCCATCACCCTTCATGCACCCTTCCCAGCAAACCTCTTTGCCATTTGCAGTAACTGACTTCTTGGGCTGTATTTGTTGATTCAGATGTCTACTTCAAAATGTAATAAAATTCTTGCATGTATCTCTGGAGATGGTCAGGGATAAACTGTTTTTGGACCACAATGTTTCTTGCTCTTTATAATGGTATAAAGTATCAAATAATCTTGAATTCTTCAGTATTTCATTGGCTATTCCTGATCATCTTAGGCATTGCACCATATGATTCATGCGCCAGATTTACTACTACTACTTGGCTACTTATTGAAGTAGTAAATCAGCATTGTTGAAGATATCTTGGTTTTACCTGTCTTCAACCTTAAACTTCTCTCTTATTACCTGAATTCTTGTGTTTTGGATTTATGTTTCCATGACTATGTTTTGAATCAACTACCATTTTCACCCAACTTTAAACAGGAATTTCAAGGTGGTGTGTTGAGGGTTTCAACCTCTGGTTTATTGAGTCTCAAGTGGAAGCTCTAAAAAAGCTTATTTTTCACTTTGTATTTACTCTTTGAGGACATTAGTGAATTACCTTGTGATACATAAGTGCAACCATGCCTTACTGAAATTTATAATAAACTTACATGTGTCTTCTGCTGTCTTCTGTTACTCATAAAGCTTTAGACATAGCTCTTCTGTATTGTGTTGAAATAAACCTTGAGTTTTTAATTTTTTGCTACATTTTAATGGTCCTTTTTTGGTTTTGTGGAAAAGGACTATATTAGTTTGTAGTGATCCATCAAGATTGCAATTTGAAGTAAAAAAGGAAAACATGTATAACAGACTTCTTCAGTAGTGAATATTGTTTGGTTTGTGTATCTTTTATTATTATGACTTCCATAACTACAGGCTTCTTTATAGGACTCTTATAATCTGTTATTTCTGTATCTTTTAATAGAGGAATATCTATACAGTTTTTCACAAAACTGGCATTCTTCATGTTTCCTGGTAAGCAGGTGTGATAAGCATGCATTGGATACAAGAAATATTTCTGTACTGCAGATGTTGCTGATATGTTCTCTGTTTTTGGAAGTCTGTATGGGTGAGAACATGTAAGAGCAAACAATTGCAGTTAAAATGTATATATTTAATTGTTTTATAAAATTCCACTTTGTAAGAACTGCATTTGAGCGAAAAAATTCATGAATTCTGATGTTAAAAAAATGGCCTATAGAAATTTTAGCAAATCTTAGATTAAAAAGAATAATGATTTTTGTGAAAAAATGTTTGTAAATTTCTTATAATAGTGAAACTGCTACTTAATAAACATGCTATAGTTCATTGTATAAATATAAATATTTGTTGCTAACATACATACTGTGTTTATTGTGGTTGTAACATAAAAGTATAGACTATTTTGAGGTTGGAAAAGATAATTACATCTTATTTGATTTTATGCAGTGATTAAATAATGATTTTTCTTAGGTAATGTTGTGTTTAAACTAAGATTTTTGTGTTATTACATGCTTTTAATTTAGTTTTGTCAATGATATATTAATAAGAACAGACATTCTTTTATTTTTAATGCTTACTAATTCAAGTATTATTTGGCTAATGTTTTTAGTATGTCATTTATATTCACTTCTTTTGTTCTATATTTTTTTAATGTACTGTCCTTGAGATTACATAAATATTGAAATACCCTAATGAAAGCCAAAACCTAGGTATCAATAAGTAGTTTAATTGCTAGTTGTGAAGTAGTATAATATATATATATTATATTAACCACTAAGAAGTGTGTTTTCTAATCTATATCTGTATAATAAGAAATTAAATATAGATAAATAAATGAAATACAAGAAAAGCAATACATCTGATTAAATCATAAACAGCACGAGAAAAAAATTGTACGTAAACTTTTACAAATATTGTAGTTATTTTGTTTCTCAAGATATTTATTAGATATTAAGTAAAACAAAAGTTAGACCTTCAGACAAATTTTTTAATAACTAAAGTAAAAGTTCTATAGGATAAGTACTAAAAATTCAAAAACGAAGCATTTACCTTTTGAATCTATACTCTTACTGGAAAAAATAAATATTAAAACATTAAGCTTAAAGAAAAGCTGAAGAAAGGAAAATAGTACATGTGTCACATTTCTCTTTGTTTGTTCTAAGTCCTGATTAAAGTGTGTGTACAGATTTTTATTAGTATTATTTTTCACCAGGATATTTCAGCAGCAAGTGATTATTTTAAGAGGAAGAATAAATTTGTTGGTGATCAAATAACCAAAGTCCAGAAGTTGGCACAAGATAAAGTTACACTCAGGGAAAGTAAGTTTATAACATAACCAAAGTTAATATAAATTTTTAGCATCAACCATTCCTTTTACCTTAGAATTTTTGTGATAAGTTGTGAAGTTGCCAATTTAAGAAAGTTTTCCACATTTACTATGTACCTTTTCTTTTTTGAGTCTCTCATTCCTAGTGGATGTGTCCCCTTCTGTGGTTTCTAGCCTCTCATTGCAGGTATCTTCTTTTAATCTCTGACAGTCGTTGTGACTCATTTGATCCCACATGATTCTGGACATCCTCCTACCTCACCTTACCTTACCCAGACTTGTGTCTGTTTGGAGCCCTCCAAGGCTCCTGTATACATATATGGATTTTCATATCCATGGTGGGTGTAGCACAGATGGCACTTTGTGTTGGGTTGACGACAACCAATCCTTTGATCAAAACTTTTCACTGCCTCTTTTCTAGTGGGTAGCAGTACTGGATACCTGATCTATATCTGGCATGTGGTATTCAGAGGTGAAGTTTCCCTGTCTGTGTGTTCTCTATCTGATGATAATATTCTGTAGGCTTTCCATCTTTTGTCTCATCTATCAGGTCGTCTTATCACAATCCATTCAGACACCTCCTCTGTTGTTTCTTACTGCCTAAGTCTCTATTTTCCTGGTTTATTTGTTGGTCTATCATGTCTTCAAAGTTCAGTCCCTAGTGGCTCTTCCACATCTCACTTTCATGTGTTTGGTATCCAATTCTAGACTACAGCTCATCACTATCCCGTATATGAGATCTTGCAGGTGGGAATGTGGATGACCCACGTTACTTAAACCACAGTGAGGTTTTACTTACCCTGACTTTATCATCTTGCTCCAATCACCATTCTATGTTTGCAGTGACCATGATGGTGAGTTTATTTTTATCCTTTCTTTTTTTCTGATCTCACAACTATCATATTCAAACAATATATATTTATATTATGTAAACCACTGAGTGGCTGCTTTTGCCTCACAGGGAATACTTACCCAGAATTAGCATTGAGCAGGGAGAGGAATATAGAAAGTGTTAAGCCCATTCTACTCTTCTCAGTACCTGCTGTTGATATGAGGTTTTCAGCAAGACTGTTTTGACCTTGTCTATTTATACATGTATATAGATATATATTCCAGGCCATTCTTCACTTTTGAAAAAACAACAACAAAACATTACTTTGTGTGTGCCTGCCCTCACACATGTCTTGCACCTGCTGTCTTTAGTCACAGTAACCCATTGCACTGTCTTTCAGTGTGGGGCCTGTTACGTATTAGAATTTCAAATGGTCTGAAATTGAGTTAAATTTAGTAGTTAAATTGTACTTTGGATTTAGCAGTTAAGTGAAAGCCAATAGTCAGTTTATGATATTTGCCAACAAGATTGATACACACAGTTTTCTTTTTTTTTAACACAAATACATTTTAATATACACACAACAATACAATTTACAATAATAGTTATTACAAACAAGGATTTACAAACAAAAGTTTAACAAACTCATGAGCAATATAAAGTCTTCTTTCTAGTCTGGAACTTCTTTGATATCTTATTGGGGGTTCACGATGAGCGAGTTAATTATGAGTTGATGTAGGTAAATTCACTTAACGGAGAGCTAGCTAGCTTTGTCCTTTGTTATTCACCAGCCACGCATTCCGAGTTTTGCATGATAAATTTATATAATATTTCCATAAAAATACTAATGTCCGATGAGAATCCACTGAAGTTAAATGATTTGTAATGTTCGAACTTTGTAAGTGCTCCTGGTCAAATATCTGAAGTTTTATGATTGATAAGCATTATAACAGTCACAGTTATAGTTTTTGAAGTTTATAGCACACCAACTATTGCAAACTAATAATAAATACTGTTTTTTTTGCCACATTGCATTGATTATATTTATAGGCATGTGTAGAGTTTCTAGAAAAATCAGATTACATAACAGTACAGAGCTACATTAAGCATTTGCGTATATACATATATTGTTGATTCTTACACTTGAGAATCTTCTACAATTTTAGAGAATAGGCAGGAATTTCGCAATACATATTTAACACTATAAGCTATGCATGTTTGTAAATATAAACTTAATCTAAACAAATGTTGATATTAAAATAAATATATAATAACAAATCCATCACAACTCCCTCCTTAGAGAATTAAAAATTGGTGTTAGACAATTTTTAACTAAGATATTGTATATATATAATACATATACATTGACAACAATACATTATATATAATACATTATTCTAAGGATTACAAAACTTCAATATTCATGACAGTATGCAACACAATTAATACAAATAATCTTATGATCATAAAATTACATAGCACGTGAGAGTGCATCAGCACAAGTGTTATCAACCCCTTTGACATGGATTATCTTCAAATCATACTCTTGTAATGATAAACCCCAATATAATAGTCTTCTGTTTCTGCCCTTCATTTGGTTTAAAAATGTCAATGATCAGTGTAAATGACAATAGGTTGTTGTGATGCAGATACATACACATTGAGATGTTATAAAGCTAACACTAGAGCCAATGTTTCTTTTTCTACAGTAAAATAATTCTTTCAGTGACAATTAAACGTTTTAGAAAAACAACAAACAGGGTGTTCAATACCTTTGTCATCTGATTGTAATAGAATAGCACTAGCACCACAATCACTGGCATCAACAGCTAATATGAAAGGCTCATCAAAGTCAGGTGCCATTAATACAGGGTAAGTACACAAAAAAGATTTGAACTTTTCAAAAGCAGATTG